CTTCCTTCCTTCCTTCCTTCCTTCCTTCCTTCCTTCCTTCCTTCTTTCTTTCTTTCTAATTCTCATCTGAGAATATGCTTATCGATTTTAGAGAGAGGGGAAGGGAGAAGGCGGGGGGAGAGAAACATTGATTGGTTGCCTTCTGCATGTACCCTGACCAGGGATCAAACCTGCAACCTTTCAGTATACTGGACAGTGCTCCAACCAACTAAGCCATACTGCCCAGGGCTCAATTTTCTTGAAGAGTTATTGTCAACATCACAAACCCTACCTCGTTAGTTCCATACCTACAAATGCCACATGGGAGGGTTTACATTGTGACAATAAAATCAAAGTTCTAGGTTTTGTGTTTGAGTTAGTGAGATACAGAACAGTAGTAGCAGGTACACAATAGCGAGAAGACACCAAAACAGTACTAGTATATCAGATGTGGAGCCTAGAGGCTGAGGTAACCATAAGAACAAAGATCCCCTGATCTTTCACATAAGTCCTCAAAAAGACATAGTACCCCCCCAGACAAGACATGGAGGTTTGATTTTATCTGGATCTGAAGGGTGAAGGAGACTAGTTGACATCTGGGACATACACAGATCTGATCATGTCTTTCCCCTGTTTATAAACCTTTACTCCATCCTAATACACATGGAGGGAAGTTCAAACATATAAAGCTTAGTAGTACAATCATAAGATTTTTGACCCAAGGATGCCTGAATTCTGCCATGGCCCTGCCATCTATGAGGTTCTGAGAGGACAAAAGGGGATCAATGGCATTTTATAATCAGGTGCATATGCCTGGTAATCCAATGCAGAAAGTTTCGGTAAAACCAAGTGAGCATATATGACTAAGGCTCAAAGCCTAGGCAGGGCCTTTTCTTCTCCCTAACCCCAACTCATCACTGGCCAGTGTCCAGAGACTCAAGGAAAGGGGTATGTGGTCCACAAGTGAGGGGAAAAGGAATTAGGGCCCACCCTAGTGACCTTGTCTTAACTAATTATATCTGTAAAGACCCTATTTTCAAATAAGGTTATATTATGGGGTGTTGGGGGTTAGGACTTCGACACATTAATTTGGGGGGGATATAATTTAACCCATAACTGGGTCACTGAGGGTGAATTCTGTGAGTACCTTTATATAGAATTAGCTTTAATCAAAAAATTTTAGAGCAAGAACTGCAAATTCAATGATATATTTTGCTAAAGCAAATAGATAAAATAATTTCTCAGAAATTACTTCTATTTCTTACCTTTAATTTTGATTCTTCAAACTATTTTTAGAATAAGTGTTTGTGTAACCACTGACTATGAGTATCACTGATGAGGTCAGTGCCTAGGAAATATTGTTTATAAGTGATCTCGGTTAAGTAATTCACTTATCTGGGCCTGTGCTTTCTTATCTGTAAAGTGAGAGGACTGAACTAGATAGTCTTTATATCAAAGAAATCTCTGGAGTTCATAGTTCTTTAAAGTTCTTTCTTTGCAGCACAAAGGGGAGATGAGAAACATTTTTGAAAAAAATGTGTGAAGAATATTTGCTACATAGCATATTAATAATTTAATACAAAACAAATAATATATAGCTGGAGACTTGAGACACGAGAGAAAGTACCATTGGGTCTTATATTTGTGCCACACCCATGATTTTATATGTGTTTCCCAGTGCCAGGAACAGTGCTAGCCTCTTAGTAAATATTCAATAAATATTTAATGAAAGCGTGAATGGAAGCAAGACATGACATGGTACTGGGAGCTGTAAGTTGTTTAGATATTCCTTGTGAGAAGTGAGGAAACAAGGTCCTTTCACTCCGGAGGTGTCTCCATTCCACACAGAATTGCCTGTGTGTGTGTGTACGCGTGGGTGCATGCATTCACCCTGTGCCAACCCGCAGCGATAGTTTCACAGTCCCAAGGTGGTATCGCCTCCGACAGCCACGTGGTCTTCACTTGCCCTCGAATTCTGCTCCCTTTATGATTAAGTAGACTGGCCCTTGGGTTTATCTGAAGAACCAGCTCCTGGAAGTTTCTATTGCAATCCAGGGCTTTCTAGGAGTGGATGGGAGGGGCGGCTTAAAGAAGGTCCCTCCAGGCCCGAAAATGTGCCCAGACTGACCCTAAGCGCGGGATGCGGCCTCAGGCTGAGCAGACGTAAAACTCGGCATGAAAACCCCACTCACCGACCGCTGCTAAGGACGCCCCGCTGTCCGAATCCTTGCCATCCCCAGATCCCACGAGCAGGGGACCCCTGCTGCAGCCTCCAGGCCGGCAGGGGGAGCCCAGCCGCAGGGCGTCGCCTGGAGCCCTGTGAGGGCGCAGCGCGCACTGCGCAG